ATTATTTAAAAATTTTTTATTTTTTTTTAATTTTTATTTTTTTCTTTCTCTGTAGCCTCCAATGAGCTACGAGAAGAGGAGCGGCTACATCGAGCCCCCGGGTTCGGAGTTAAGTGTGGGACGACCACTCTCAAGCGTCCTTCGCCGAGGACCGTTCTGTGGGGGTACACACCACCCTTCCTCCTGTGGTGAGTTTTGTCTCCACCTGTCGTGGTGTGTGTGTGTGTGTGTGTGTGTGTGTGTGTTAAACTCTGGAGACTTGATCGTTCTTTAGGGATATGACTCTGACATCCAGACAAGACAGAAGAGTGCAGCAACCCTGTCATAGTCGGGTCATGACATTCTGTGCTTCCATATACGATATCTGAGGATCGAGCCTCATGTATTACACACACCTGTGTCGTAATATCTTGATGTTTCATGTATGATGTTGTGTGCAAGGGAAATTATTTTCTGTTTAAGAAATATGAGGGCTTGGACTAATATAGATATCTGTAACAGCAAGAGTTACAGTTCATGGGGGATCCTACAGGAATAATCTCGACTCTTGGAGGGAAGGAGTGAGCGTAGCTACAGACAATGTCATTGTTTACAAAGAGGAACTTTACAGTATTCTAGTAATGCAGAGGATTTTTTTTTATTCTCTCAGGATTCAATGTAAGTCTTCCTTATACTAAACTTTGGGAGTGTCAATGCATCTAGGGAAGAGAGAGAGAGATAGAGAGTGAGGAAGGACATGTTACATGAGGATAAGACACGAGACGAATAGTTGGGAAATTATTTGACATTGAGAACATAGAAAATAGTTCTAGTCGAAAACATTACTACTACTACTACTACTACTGATAATAATAATAATAATAATAATAATAATAATAATAATAACAATCTGAACACTGTTGTTACTATTGTTTATTATTAATAAAAAGCGTCACAGAGTTTAGAAGGTATGGCAGAACACACACTTGCCACTCAAGAATGATTCCCATTGAAACAATAAGACTGATGGAGCGAATCATTAATTCAGTGTCCTAAGTGAGCCCATCTGAAACCTGAGTAATACTAACATGTCAACCTCTGTATGTTGTATATCATGCACGTTGACATTCGCTTCCTCCAACAGTTGATCCCTCGTGTCAAGGGGCCAGCACCTCCCCGTCCATGTGTAGTGAGTCGCGGGGAGAATGGTGAACCTCGTGTCATGATTGGGGCAGATGCTCGCTCCGACCTGGCTAGCTCTCAGCAGGCATTCGTCGACCTGTTGGACCAGCCAGCTCCTGCTGCAGCATTGGACAGAACCAGCAGGAGGGAGAGCATAGCAGCTGCTTCAGTCCACAGCAGTGCCAGGATCAACCGGTCTAGATCACACTCACGGGAGCATCTGGCGAATGCCTTCCTGCATCAGCTGCATCCACAGCCCCATATGGACTCCAACAGGTCTCACTCCACGGACAGGCTCCACCACAGCAACCACGACCTCTCTACAGATAGACTCCACCACAACGCCCACAGCCACTCCACGGACAGGCTCCATCACAGCAACCACGATAATTCCACGGACAGGCTCCACCACCACAGCAACCACGACCTCAACTCAGAGTTTGGGGTCAACTTTTCCTTTAGAGGAGATGGTGAACGGTGAGTAGATGGAGATCATGTTAAAACCTGTGTAATGACAAAAAAGACAACACCTTCACCATCATTCATGCAACAGCTGTCTTGCTGGAAATTCTCAGACATTACAGTGCAAATGACTTGAATTTTGACTCGATTTTTTCCCCTTTTTGAACACCTTGTATTGTATAATAAAAAAAAAATTAAATGGTAATTGACCTTCAGAAGCTTTAATGGTTTTCCTGAATATTTACGAATATATTTTTTCCTCTCGTGTACCTGGAAAAAAATTGATAAAAAATAAAATAAAGCCATAAAGTTTTTTAACTTTAATAAACACGAACAAGAATTTATGTAAAAGTCATGAATTTTGTGTAAAATTTATTAATTTTTTCACAAAATTCGTGACTTTTAACACAAAATTCATGTAGTTAACTGTGTGCTCTTGATTTAAAGGCATCCCCTCATGCACCCAAATTTGCAGGACATGAGCATGGGCCCGCTCCTGCGATGAGACCCCAGTCAGAGCAACCCCTTAGAAGTCTGCGTGCTGACAGCTTCTACTCTTCAAAGGCCCCGTCTTCTCAGCATATCTCTGACGTATGTACACAGCTGTTGATACGCAACAAATAGAAATAACAAGAGGGAAATAGAAAAATGAAAGGGTGTATACATAGGCGGAATGAATTTGAGAGAAATAAAAGTGGCGAATGAACTTTTTGTTATGGTGTGTTATACGATGATTATTTGGTCTATATTTCAATTTTTTTTTCTCCCTGATAGCAATAAAAATTTAAATTTAGAGCTAGATTTAGATATTCTACTGCTTATATAGACTTTTATCCTGTAAATCCCTTCTGTCTGCTTACACCAAACATAAACGAAAAGGGAAGTATAAGGTCAACGAAGGAGTTAGTTCTTTACTTAGTGTTGAATCTCCCTCTAATAGCTGGTGCTAGATTGTCTTAACCTTATTTTATTTCCTCACCCTTTTGTCTTGTCTTTAACAACTTTTTATATCTTCATAATTTATAGTTTTTTGTTAGCAGCCCATTTTTGAGGTCAGGCTTGGAAATTAATAAAACCTTTCGAGCAAACAATTTGAAATAAAAACCGTAATATCTAGATAAAAAATGCAAAAAGTTATTACTGTTTATTAAAAAAGTAATCGATAGATAACATAGTTGCAAGAGTAATAACTATGACTGGAACAATACACAAAAACCCCCACATAGGAGAAAAGGGAAATTACGACGACTTGGACCATTTACAAAGTCACACTGTGACTTTGTAAATGGTCCAAGTCGGACCGAGACTTCGTGGTAAAACTCCTCTCTCCTATGTGCAGGTTAATTTGTGTATTGCGGGAATAGTATTGATGACGCTTATATTTCAGTGGTTCATCAACAAAGATTTTTGTTGAAGAATTGAGACACTTATGCAACACATGGGAAACTTTATTGAAGAAAAAGTTTCGCCACACAGTGGCTTTATCATCCAATACAAAGTAGAAATGGGTAAGGAGAGTAGAAGTTTGAGGTAATTCAGTCCCCCAACCTGGAATCGATTTTGTTCAGTCCATCACTCTGTAGGGAAGTGCAGCATAGGGCCAGAGAGGTGGCTTATATACTGCCGGTGAGATGAGATGAAGCAGGAGGAGGTGAGATCACAGTGGGACCTGCCACTAGTGTAAGTAGGTCGTCGTCCAAAGGTTGGGCAAGCGTTGAAGTCTTTGTACCAAGATTCCATGATGTTGCAGTGTCTGACAGATGTGATGAATGGTTTAGAAAACCGACAAGTTGAAGAATTGAGACACTTATGCAACACATGGGAATCTTTATTGAAGAAACGTTTCGCCACTTACACTAGTGGCAGGTCCCACTGTGATCTCACCTCCTCCTGCTTCAACTCATCTAAACCCCCGTATATAAGCCACCTCTCTGGCCCTATGCTGCACTTCCTACAAGAGTGATGGACTGAACACATCGATTCCAGGTTGAGGGACTGATTACCTCAAACTTCTACTCTCCTTACCCATTTCTACTTTGTATTGGACTGATGAAGCCACTGTGTGGCGAAACGTTTCTTCAATAAAGATTCCCATGTGTTGCATAAGTGTCTCAATTCTTCAACTTGTCGGTTTTCTAAACCATTCATCACAAAGATTTTTGTATCTATCTGTCGTGGGTTTAGGAACTGAGAAATAGAGAGAGAGTAGACGCACTCCGTGTCTTAGCACATTTCTACCTGGAGAACAATGGTTACACAGATGTAATGACATGCTCTTGACAACTTTGTATCTACCAGGCAGCTAGTTAAGAGATTTAGCATCAGCAAGCTTACACTAGACTCGCAAAACATCTTATAATGCTTATTTTTTTTACTCTGCCGACCGCTGAACCTACGGAAGGTCTCAGTCACATGACGGAAACCTACTTGGATGATGGGTTATCACGACAATGAAGGAAATTTTCAGATCTTGCCAACAAAATATCCCCCTTGTGGTTTGATGGGCGATAGAAAGTAGGAGGAAGAATTACAAACGACCCTAATTTTGTTGTCAGTCATACTGCATCTGCATCTCCTGGCAACAAGGAAATAAAAAAAGACTTTGAAGTAACAGTAATAAGGCTGGCACGTACCGTATATTTAACTAACTCCTGAATGTTTTTAATAAGAAAATTGCTGAAATAGGGAGCCACACAGTTGCCTCACTTGAACATCACGCAGCAATCATTGTGGTAATGTCAGCAGATGTGTGCATGACACCGTAAGCTCATCACAGCTTCCCCTCACCACACTTTCCTGATCACTCTGACATGTTTGGTGACAGATGACCACCTGTCCTGCAACACCTGCCAGACTATATTACAAACTATACTACTATATTGCTATCAGATAAAATATTTAGACAACAGGTTATGACATAATAACTTTTTCTAATTTCCCTCACCTCACCTTCCTTCATTTCACCTCACCTTCCCTCGCTTCACCTCACCTTCCCTCGCTTCACCTCACCTTCCCTCACTTCACCTCACCTTCCCTCATCCTTTCACTTTTCAACACCGTCCTCCTCTTTCTTAATGTTTGTATTTTCTTTGTGTTTTTCATTTTCTTTCTTGTGTTCCTCTTTATTATTCTCTCTCGTCTTCTTCCTCTTTCCTATTGTTTACAATAAGAAGCTAAACTACACACAAACGATGACCATTACGCTGACTACAATGGCTTTTATACCCCCCATTTTTTTCCCTGACTCCATTACTATTACCATCACTGTACCATGACTTACCCACCATACCCCACTGTCACCATGACTTCACACCAAATTTTCCCCACTGCTACCATGCTTCCCCCCACCATTTCCCCTCACTTCTACCTTTACTTCACCACCCCCTTTCCATCATGCACCATGGGTTCCCCACCACCCAATTACCACCATGTAAAAACCCTGACTTTCACCCCCACCATTTTCCCTCACTGCTACCGACTTCCCACCACCATTACCATCAGGGCTGCCATGACTTCCCCCCCCCACCATTACCACCAATGCTATCATGACTTTGCCCCCCCATTACCCTCACGTCCATGTTTCCCCACCCCCATTACCCAACTGCTACCATGATTCCCCCCCCATTTCCACCCCGTTACCCTGACCCTTTCCCACCACCATTACCATCACTGTACCTGACTTCCCACCACCTTTTCATCACTGCTACCCCGCTTCCCCCACCACCCTAACCCTCATGCTACCATGACTTCCCACCACCATTCCATCATGTACCATGATTCCCCCCCACAATTACCACCGCTGCTACCATGACTTCACCCTCACCATTCCATCACTGCTACCTGACTTCACCCCCCCATTACCACAGGGCTACCATGACTTCCCCCCACCATTTCCCCCAATGCTATCATGCTTTTGCCACCACCATTACCCTCACTGCTACCTGTTTCCCCACCACATTACCACCACTGCTACCCCGACTTCCCCACCACCATTACCACCACTGTTACCATGAACTTCCCCCACCATTCCCATCCTGCTACCAAACTTCCCCACCCCCCTTACCACCCCTTTTCCCTACCAAAATTCCCCCACCCCAATTACCCCACTGTTTACCATGTTTCCCCCACCCCCAAATTACCATCACTCCCTACCATGATTTCCCACCACCAAAATTACCCCCTTCCCACCAAATACTTCCCACCCCATTACCATCACTGCTACCATGACTTTCCTTCCAAAGGGCACCCCCAATTTCCCAACCATTGCACCATGATTTTCCCAAACTTTAAAACCAGGGGTTTACCAGGGTTTTTCCCCCCCATCATTACCACCCACTGCTACCATAAATTTTCCCCCCCATCATTACCCCCCCCCGTCCCAAGACTTTCCCCCAACCACCATTACCACCAGGGGCAAACCATGACTCACCCCAACACAAAAATTTACTCCTGACTTTCCTCCCCTCCACACGTGGGGGCACCAGCCCCTTTGGAAAAAACGAGATGGCGGCTCCACGTCGTCAAACCCCAGATGGAACTGTATGCCGGCGCGTGAAAATTTTGCCACTTCATCCACCCAACTCAAAACCCTCTTACCATTATTAAACTAAATCTTTTCTGAAATGACTCGGTGAAATTTTTTGATTTTTGTATATTTAAACAAAAAACCTAGATTTTTTATTCACGAATTTATTTTTTTCTAACTAGGTGAGAAAAGTATTGTTCCGGCATGTTTTTAATATATTCTTTCACTATTTCTTAGTTTGCATGTGCAAATTTTTAACTTTATTACATTTTTCCTTTAAAACTAAATGAATCCTGTTTTCCGTATTTTAAAGGAAATTTTAAAGCTCCCAAGGTTAAAAAGAATTTTACATTTTTGCTTTTTAACAGGGGCCCTGTGGGTTTTAAACATGTCATGTAGGGGTTTTAACAGTGCCCATGTAGCTTTTGTTTTAAAACCTGTCATGAGCGTGTTAACAGTGTCATGTACGGTTAACATGTCATGTAGCGGGTTAACAGGTCATGTAGCTTTT